TATTTGCAACTACTACTCTAGTTCTGCACAATATATTTGCAACTACTACTCTAGTTCTGCACAATATATTTGCCGCTACTACTCTAGTTCTGCACAATATATTTGCAGTTACTACTCTAGTTTTGCACAATTTATTTGCAGCTACTACTCTAGTTCTGCACAATATATTTGCAACTACTACTCTAGTTCTGCACAATATATTTGCAGCTACTACTCTAGTTCTGCACAATATATTTGCCGCTACTACTCTAGTTCTGCGCGAAATTTTGTTCCCTCGTTTTTTTGTGTGGAATATTTTTGAGTGGAATCTCACATCATTTGTACTTGATTCCACAAATCATTTTCGCGCAAAAATGCGGAATACGAAAGCAATTTTGAGCATTTTTACGGGAAATTTTTGTTAATAATTGTATATTTTTCCCATTAATAATCTTGCTTTGATAATTTCATATCTATTCCGGCCAACGAAAAAAGTTTTAAGATTACTAAGAATCTTATTTTTCTAATGTTTTAATTAAAATAGAAAGAGTTTCAAATTAGAAACCTCTTTACAAAATTATTATCGATTTCCTATGAAATTTGTCAAGTGTTTGATTATAAACAACCTCAAAGGTTTGTTAAGCAGTTTCATCAGGAATTTTTAATTTAAAACTTTCAGTTAATGCATAACTAGACTTTAGGGGCACTTCGCGGACCCTTTCCTCTGAAAGACTGAAAATCAGCCATTTTAAATCATTTTCAACTGTACATTTCAGTCTCACATGAAAATTGAATTTAAATTTAATCTTTTGTTTTATAATATTCATATGCAGCATGATAACCAGAAAACTCTGACTTAGGAAGACGACATTTAAGACTCAAGCAGATCCATGTAACTTAGTAAGTGATTTACTAAGTTAATAACTATTTTTTTTGCTTGTAACGACATCAAATAAACTGTAATGTTGTCCTTCTGTACCATGGTTGTGTGCTGCTCACTGTAGAAAAATATCTAATTTTGATTAAACGAAACTTACAATTTTAACCAAATATCGTTTTCATTTTAATGTTTATCCAATGTGAACAAATGAAAAATGTATCTTATTAAATTGTTAAATAGTAGCTAAACCACAAAATTACATAAATTTGTAAGTCACAGTTCAAATTATTGATTGTTAGATGGAAAAGCAATTCCGTTGCACGCAATTCCGCAAATTATGAATTGCTTCCTTGTTTGCAATTATAGCGCAAATCAGGGGCGGACACAGGATTTAAGTGAGGGGGTGGCAAGATTTTTAGGAACAAAAAAATTGATAATTAGGAACAAAATTAAAGGATTAGGACAGGGATTTAGGAACAATAAAAAGATTGCTCAGGAAATAGGAACAAAATTAAAGGATTAGGACAGGGATTTAGGAACAATAAAAAGATTGTCCAGGAATTAGGAACAAAATTAAAGGATTAGGACAGGGATTTAGGAACAATAAAAAGATTGTTCAGGAATAAGGAACAAACATATAGGATTAGGACAGGGATTTTAGGTGGGTCGGACACAGTATTAGGAACAGGAACAATAATAGGAACATTAGCAATTTAAGAACAAAAAGAAATTACTAGTTTCTTACGAATTTCTAATTCTAAATTTATCGTTAACAATAACAATTACTTGTTGTTGTTGATTTTTAAATTAAACTGAAGAAAAGACTCAAAATGTGCAGTGTGCCGCGTACCAATAAAACAAAACAGTAAACACAATGTCTGTCGTCATATACTTACATCATTGGTTAAAAACTTATATTTATTTTTAACAAGCTAGAAAAATATTTTTTTCGTCCTTCTCTTCTGATGATTCAATTTTTCAATAAATATTAATTATTATATTTCCATTAAATAAAAAATAATCAAATAGCTTAAAATTGAAAAACACATACGATTTATCAAATTGGGAACATTTTTTGCCTCGAAATCTCAGGGGGGGGGCTACGCCCCTCCCTGAATCTGTCAGGGGGTGGCGAATGTCCCCCCACCACCCCCCTGTGTCCGCCTTTGGCGCAAATGTGTGCAATGAAATGGCGGAAGCAACCATTACGCACAAGTAAAATTTTTTTTATTTTTGGTCATCATTATTCTCTGCTATTCAGAATTTTTTGAGAATATTTTTTTAGCACACAAAATCAAATCTGAAGTTCTTAAAAAGCAAAAATAAGTGTGAAAGCCTTATTCACTTTTTTTTCACTTAAATATAACCATTTTTGACCAAACATTATATGAAAACAAAATATCAGAAATTTCAAAATTTTTGTAATACATAAAAAATGAATAAAAGTATTCAAGAATAAGAAAAATCAAGATAACTATCAACAAGATCAAAATTTAAAAGAAAACAAATATATTTAGAACACATGTTTCCTGCCCATCAATTAGAGTGATTATGTTATTGAGGTTATGAATTATGAATTATGATCCTGTTGGAAGATGAGCCCATTTCTTAGACTGAATATACTGAGAAGATTTTGCTTTACAAAAAACTGTGTCAACCTCTTAATTAGATTATCCCTCAACCACCAATTTCATAAAAAAAAAGTTTTTTCATTTCTGCTTTGTCATGTTGGTTTTGTCAATGGATTCTGATGCCCCAGTACTGTTTCTTCTCATACATACTTACCTATTCTTGTTTTTACTTAATTTTATCTTTTCAGATTGGATTTACAATTCTTCAACTTTAATCATTTAATTCATTTACATTTTGTTCATTTCTAAATTTTATCAAATGTAAATTTTTTCTCTAATTTAACCAACTTAGAATAGATCGGAACAACGTCATGGCCTAGAAAATGAATGACAAATGGCCTTACAATTTAATTTTCTAATCTTTACATATTCGCAACCTAATGTTGTAAGCTTGATATTTTAATCTATGAATCACTTTAAATCAAATAATCTAAAGTTTAAATTGTCTATTTTAAATATTTTAAATATATAAGATCTATATAAAACATTTCAACTTTATCAATAGTGATTCTTCTAGTATTTATATTCTATATAATAAAAAAAAATATTCATATATATTTTCCCACTGGACGACAAAAACGGCTGTACCGAATGGGTTGACTAAGAATGAAATAAATTTGTATATTTTTTTTATTTTCTTCATTTTTTACAGCTAGTTTTTATTATAATTAAACAATTTCATTCATGATAAGAATTTGTGTTTTTTTTTACTAACAAAGAGAACAAAAGAGTTTATTACTTAAAACAGTGATTTAATTGAATTCAAGTTAATGGTGAGTGCCATCAAAGCTGTGAAGATCTAAACAACTTTATTACTAATAAATATCACTGTAAATGATGATAAGAAGGGTTGTTAATTGTTTTTAAAAACGATAGTTTTTCGTTTTGTTTTTATTTCTTTTTAAAAATGAGCATTTCGTTTTTCTAACAGGGATTTGTTTTGAACTTTTAAAAAATGAAAACAATAGTTTTTTAAAAAATTATTGTTTTTGGAAATTATAGTTTTTAAGAAAAACAGTAGTTTTTAAAAAAAATCGTTATTAAAACTATTTTAGCTAATGAATGAGTTTTCTGACAATTAATTTTTTTTTCAGCTTATGATTATCTTAAAAGTTTTCTGACCAAAAAATGTATTTTCTCTTTAAAAGGTTGTTAACTATTGCTAACAAAGGGTCATTGTTAACAATACTTAATGAAGAGTTGTGGGTAACGGTCATTATTAAGGGTCATTTTCAAAAGCTATAGCTTTTAAAAACAATCATTTTTAAAACTATCGTTTAAAAAACATTTGTTTCCATTTTTCTTCCTCAGTTTTTCGAAAAGGTGGAAAAGCCAGGTTAAATAAAATCTTTATATAATGACTAGTATTTCTGTATTTAGATGTATAATTTGTTAACTCAACAATATCTAAAAAATCAGTGCAATGGGAATTTTGATTTATTTAAAACATTTATAGATACATTAAAAAAAGAGGATCGTTAATTATAGCCTTTTTTAAAACTTGAACTTGAATAATTTCAAAATTAAAGTCATGTCTAAGTTTAAATAAGGGGGAAACTTTTATATGGAATAGCTTGAAGCATAATTCAAAACTGTTAAAATATATATTTATTTCGAAATTTAAAATAACACATTTTATGTAATGTCTGTGATTTGGCTTCACTTTTACACCAGGCTAATATTAGTATACTTTTCATATCATTTCATTTATACTTTTTTTGTTCTGTGCAGTGGTGGACATAAGGGGGTTATTGGGGTTATTTACCCCCCCCCCTAGAATCCTGGGGGTAAATACCCCCCCCTAGAATCCTGGGGGTAAATGTCCCCCCCTAGAATCCTGGGGTTAAATACCCCCCCCCTAGAATTCTAGGGAGGGGTAAAAAAAAATTCGGCTCGCTTCACGCGCCAAATTAAAAATATTTACCCCCCCCTACAGAATCCTTATGTCCGCCCCTGGTTCTGTGACATGAATATTTCAATTTTACATGAACTACACATTTTTGTTGAAACTATTTAAAAGAATGGTAATCTGATGCTGAACACAATAATCATTTTTTATCAAATTTGTGTAGTGCAGAAAGAATAGATATTAAAGAGAATTTTTTTTAATTCAAAGGATTCTGTAAAAAAAACTTAAAATCATAAAGGCACGTGTAACATTTTATTTATTCTATTTAACTTATGCATATTACATACAATGATACAATCAGAGGGAAAAAAACATTTATAGGCAATATTTTGTTTAAATATTAAGAATTTCTGTATATTAATATAAAACAACAAGATAAGTTTAGCATTAAAAGGAATTGAGAGATAAAACAATGTATGTCAAATGAAAGTCAAACTTAAAAAGGATAAATAATTTATTTCAGTTTCAATGCATAAACCTTGAGTAAATGAGGATCATAGCTAAGTGCTTTTAAAACCCATTATTAAGCTACTTTAATACATGTGGTCATGTAAACTAAGTCTCTTACAAGGAGAGCATGATAACCAGATAGTTGATGGTGCATCCAATAATTGTCATGAACGTTGATTTATTAACCTCAAAGAATCCAAGAGCAGTAAATGGTCCTTCTTCTCTGATCATTTCAAGAGCTGAATCAAATTTAAAATGTTTTTTTTTGTTAAAATGTAAAAACTAAAGCAATGAATCCCTTATTTAATCTTTTGGTATTAAAACCCTGACTTTTCCAAATATTATTTGCTGACCTAAACTACCATTCTGAAAAGATTAAGTCTTATTACAAATTTTGTATAAAATTACATTTAGAACTAAAATACCAGCTTTTCTTACAGTATCTATGAGTCAAAACAAGCAAGAATAACAATAGAATTAATTATAAAATGGAGAATGGCATAAAAAAAGATTGAGAAACCTGTCAGAATTTTGTGCTTCATTTCATCATCCGCCATCAAGGACATCTTCCTACAAAGTATTTAGTGCCATTTTTTATTTAATTTAGATCTAACTGTTGTAGACTTTAAAATACCTAAGTTTATCATTATTAGCAGACAGAGCTTGGAATACTTCATCGCAACTGCAGATTAGGGAGTAGACAATTAAAAGATATATTGCAACCATTGTTATCTGGGTTACACCCATGAAATATTGTCTCAGCTTCAGAAAATACAACCCACTGTATGAACAGACTACCAGGTTTACAGAATAGTTCACCAGCATTGAAAAAAGGAGTGGACTGAACCCGCTCTTTAGCATTTTCATCTTCTTTACTAAATTCATAGAACGTGAGATAGTGACTGTATCTTTGTCTTCCTTAGTCAAATCAGTTGCCTCCTCAATAAAGGAAATGCAGACAAGATTAGTTGTAATCAAGTAGGCTGATACAAGCATTGCGAGCATTGACTGGAAGGTTATCATAGTGGGACATATAAACACAAAATTTTCTGATGAATAATAATTCATCAAAAATAATATAGTTGCAGCAGTGAAGATGATCATGTACATAGCAACCCATTTTTTGGTGTACTTACTGACATCAAGATCAACTTCTGACTTTTCAACAAGATTTGCAAGTAATCCAGGCATAGACAATGCAATAGCCATTCCATTTATTAATATTGATATTGTACTAGCCATGATAACTGGGTTGTTTTTCATTAATTCATAATTGGGAACAGATTCTAGAAAAGTTGGGATTGAGAACAAACCCATGGGAATACAAAACCAGATCATGAAGGATAGAACACTTCTTAAACTGAGTATTTCATACTGTCTGTTTTTTACAGGGATCAAGTCTAAAATAAATCATTATTAAGATTTGATCAAGGTTATTAAGGTTTAAGTTTACTTACATAACCAGATGAAAAGTCTTAGTGGCTTCATGGTTGAATGTTGTTTGAGAGTTCGGCTAAAGCTTGTGTTGTGACTCGTTGCTAGCAGACAGTTCTCTGTTTACCCAATTTATCAATAAACTGAAAGTTAAAGAACTGAAATTTCCTATTCAACTGTGCATTTTCTACCAGTAATTTTCCTGAGTTAATTACTTTTCTGACCTTTTTGCTAAATCTTATTAAAAAAGCTTCAAGACCAAAAGCATTTATCCAACCCTACATTTGAGAATTAATGGAAAATTTTGGTTCTGAAAAATATTGAAGAGAAAAATTGTAAATGCAGGTTTGATAACTGGGCCTTTCAGACTCTCTGGCTGTCCTCCAATTATTTTTCAGCCACAGCTGCAGGCTTAACCATGAAACTGCTTAGACTTTTTATTCAATTAGGTCATTAATGTGGTACTTCTGTTACCAATCTATTATACAAAGCTGCATTGTATCTACATACTTATCTATGAATGTATTAATTAAATCTTCAATAGTCTGTTATTGTTGGAATTTGGTGCTACAAAGTAGACTAAACTGTTAAGTTAAGTTCCCTTCTTATACTGTGTAAAGATTCGTATTTAGATGTAAATACACATTAATTAGGTTTGACTCTTATTAGAGAAGGAAAGTTTAAACTGTGGGGTACTAAAACCTTTTAATCCTTGATGATTTGGTTTTGTATTCCCATTGGTTTATTCTCAACAGTAATGTGGATGGTTGTATTTTTGGATAGTCCAAGTCAATACTTAAGAATACACATAGAGTCGTATCCAGATTGATATTGATACCTGAAAATACTGACAGAATTGTATCTGGATTAATATTGACTATGGTATTACTGAGAAACCTTGAGTTCTAGATCGAGTTGTATCTTGTAAGACAGGTACTTAAGATTACAGAGAGAGTCTTATCTGGATTAATACTGAACAAGGTGTTATTGGAGAGCCTAGAGTTTGAGATTGAGTGGTATGTGAAGTGGCACTGATCTAAAAGTATTTATTTGAGTAGGGCATTTACCAAAATATAGGAATATAAAGATATAAAGGGAAAGAGGGGATGTAAAGATATAAAGGGAAAGGAGGATATAAAGATATAAAGAGAAAGAGATCTTTAAAGATATAATGGAAAAGGGAGGACATAAAGATATAAAGGGAAAGGGAGGATATAAAGATATAAAGGGAAAGGGGGATATAAAGATATAAAGGGAAAAGGAGGATATAAAGATATAAAGAGAAAGGGGGATATAAAGATTTAAAGGGAAAGGGAGGATATAAAGATATAATAGGAAAGGGAGGATATAAAGATATAATGGAAAAGGGAGGATATAAAGATGTAAAGAGAAAGGGGGATATAAAGATATAAAGGGAAAGGGGGGATATAAAGATATAAATGAAAGGAAGGATATAAACATATAAAGGGAAGGGTGATAATGGAAAGTTACAAAATAAAACCTCTTTACAAAATGATTATTGATTTGCTATGAAATTTGAAAGTGTCTGATGTCAAACAACCTCAAGGGTTTGTTAAGCAGTTATATCTGGTATTTTTAATTCAAAACTTTCAGTTTATGGATAGAACTGGGTAAACAGAGAAATGTTTGCTGACAAAGGTTATCAACCCAAGTTTTAACTCTAGGTTCAAACAACATTCAAGCTTCTAAAACTATTAGTTTAACCAGGACACAACCCACCTGGCTCTAAATGCCACACAGGGACGCAAGCCTAGCTATCCAACAAGCTATATATTGATCTTAAATGATGGGGACAATCCGTTACTCTAAATGCCGGACAAGGACACAAGCCTAGCTTTAAAACAAGCTATATATCGATCCCAAATGATGGGGACGACCCAATGCTTCAAATGCCAGGGACACAAGCCTAGCTATACAACAAGCTATATATCGACCCCAAATGATGGGGACGATCTGGTTCTCTAAATGCTACACATAAATTTTTAATAATGTACAACATACTGCAGATGTTTAAACAATATTTGCTACAAGTTTTCATATATATAAACCTTTCTTTAAATAAGAGGTTTGTTGGTTCTGTTACAGGTTTTTACTCAAAAATACATTTCTAATTTATTAATTCATTTCTTGAGATGATCAAAGAAGAGGGACCATTCACTGCTCGTGGATTCTTTGCAGTGGATAAATCTACTTTCATGACTCTTATTAGATTCACTATCAACTATCTGGTTATCATGCTCTCCTTCAATGCAACTTAGTCTAACATATCAATCTGTACTACTACCTGTATCTCTTTGTCAATTGGAGGCCATTATTGGCTTTATTCTTGATTATGTATGTGATATAATAATATTTTAATGTATGTTGCTTAATCAATCAATCAATAATATAAGAATATTACATAACTTTTAGTTTTTGTGCAAGATTAATAAAGATTTCAGCTGAATTTAATTGTTTCTTACTTTTAAGAAATAAGAAATAAACAAAAATAATTATTTAGATTTTTTATTTTTGGGAATATTAGTTTAAGCACTTTTGTTGTTAAAAAAGCAACAATAAGTGTGAGTCTTTTTCACTTTTTCTTCACCTAAATTTTACCAATTTTTAACCAAACATTATATGAACACTTCCAATCTATATATAAATTTGGCTTGTCTGTCTGTTTGTCTGTCTGTTTGTATCCAATAAACGTCAAAACGGCTGAACCGATCGGGCCCAAATTTTTTGTAGGACATCTAGGGACCCCAGGGAAGGTTTACGAATGATAAAAATTAATAAAAAGTGTGTTTTAAAGGTTTCTAACTTTTTTAAAAATTTAAATTCTTGAAAATCCACCAATTTTTTTTTAAAAATCCGCAAAATTTTTTAGACCCAATCTTAGACTCAACTCTGACGACAGCTTGTGTCACATGATTGACAGCTGCTAGATCTTCGACTCGACTGGAGTTAAGCCCAATGAAAATAAAACGACCTTGGTTGGTTTTAGTGGAGACTAAGGCTCAATGTTGCGTCTTGTTCTCATAAAACTGTGAATGCTCCAATTCCTACCATGAAAATCCACCAAATAGAAATTTCACCAGAGCTGAAAACTTTAGAAAGAAATATCCAGATATCCCATCGAATAATTAATCTGAAGATTAAAATCATGCATTAATCAAGCAATATTTAATCTCGAGATTAAGAAAAAGAGTGGATTAAGCCTTAATCCTGATATCCATCATTCTAAAGTTTTCAGCTCTGGTTTTTTAATTCAACTCTGTGGAAAGTAAGATGCAAGCCGTAAATAAGGTCCAACGACAGCTTAGCTGTATTTTCCGGAGTTTTTTAAATCGCGGGCTCTGTATTCAGATTATTTATGTGTAAGTTTTAAACTCAACATTATCTAAAAAATCAGTGCTCAGAGAATCTTGATTAATTTACAAGATTTATAAATAGATTAAAAAAGAGAATCCTTAATTTTAGCCTTTTTTTACAATCTAATCTTGAATATTTCCAAGGTTTAAGTCGTGTCTAAGTATAACTCAGGGGGAAAATTTTATATGGCATAAGCATATATAAGCATAACTAAGACTGAAATATATATTTATTTCAACATATACATATAACATTTCTTAAACTATCTGTCATTTAGGACTTATTCTAAACGATTATTTTCTTAGCTTTGAAATTAAGAAATCATAAAACTTTAGACTTAAATTTATCATAGCTACACAAACTACACATTTTTAATGAAAATTAAACTATTTGAAAGAAGATTTAACTGATCACTTCTTTCATCAAAATTGTGTAGTGCGGAAAGAATGGATATGATAGAGAGAAATTTTTAAGATATTATTTTATTGATTCTCTTAAACATATGCATATTCCATACAATGATACAAACAGAGAGGTAAAAACATGTATTTGCAGAAAGATTAAACTGTGTATGACAAATCAGGACTTAGTGTCTAAATTCTCAAAGTCAAGCATAAAAAGGATAAATAATTTAATTAATTCTTAATAAATAAAAGTTAAATGAGATGAGGATCATAGCAAAGTGCTTTTAAAGCCCATTGTTAAGCTACTTTAAAACATGTGTTCATGTAAACTGAGTCTCTTCCAAGGAGGACAAGATAACTAAGTTGCATTGAAGGAGAGCATGATAACCAGATAGTTGATGGTGCATCCAATAATTGTCATAAAGGTTGATTTATCCACGTCAAAGAATCCAAGAGCAGTAAAAGGTCCTTCTTCTCTGATTATTTCAAGAACTGAATCAAATTAAAAATGTATTTTCTGCTGAAAATTAATTTACATGCCACTTATTTAGTTTTAGAAAACCCTAACTTTTCCAAATATTATTTGCCAACTTAAATCACTACTCTGAAAAGATTAAGTCTTATTCAAAATGTTGTATGAAGTTACAGTTTTAATTAATATATGCGCCTTCCTTAAAGTATTAGTCAAAGCAAGCAAGATTAACAGTAAATGCAATGATAGGGTCAAAACATAGGTAGGCATACAAGATTTTTAAACCTGTCAGAATTTTGTGCTTCATGTCATCATCCGCCATTAAGGACATCTTCCTGCAAAGTATAAAGTATTATTTTATATTTAATTTAGATCTAACTGTTGTAGACTTTAAATTACCTAAGTTTATCATTATTAGCAGACAGAGCTTGGAATACTTCATCGCAACTGCAGATTAGGGAGTAGACAATTAAAAGATACATTGCAACACTTGTGATATAGTTAAGGCTCGTGAAATATTTCCCCAGCTTAAGAAAATACAATCCACTGTATGAACAGATTATCATGCTTACAGAATAGTTCACTAGCATGGAAAGAAGAAGTGGACTGAACCCCCTCTTGAGCATTCTTATCTTCTTTACTAAATTCATAGAACATGAGATAGTGACTGTAACTTTGTCTTCCTTAGTCAAATCAGTTGCCTCCGCAATAAAGGAAGTGCAGACTAGATTAAATGTAATCAAATAGGCGGTTATAAGGATAGCTAGCATAATCTGGGAGGCTATCATGGCTGGACACATGATTACAAAATTTTTTGATTGATAATAAGCAATCACCCCAACAATAATTACAACAGTGTAGAGGATCATAAGCATAGCAACCCATTTCTTGGAGTACTTGGTGTCATCAAGATCAATTTCTGACTTTTCAACAAGATTTGCAAGTAATCCAGGTGTAGACAATGTCATCGCCATTAGATTTAGATATATTGTTACTGAACTAGCCATCATAACTGGGTTGTTTTTGGGAACTGATTCTAGATAAATTGGGATTGAGAACAAACCCATGGGAATACAAAACCAGATCATGAAGGACAGAACACTTCTTAAACTGAGTAAATTATAATTTCTGTTTTTTACAGGGATCAAGTCTAAAATAAATCATTATTAAGATTTGATCAAGTTATCAATGTTTAAATTTACTTACATAATCGGATAAAAAGTCTTAGTGGCTTCATGGTTGAACGTTGTTTGAAAGTAGGGTTTAAATGTACTTTTGTTGTGACTCGTTGCTAGCCAACAGTTCTCTGTTTACCCAATTTATCAATAAACTGAAAGTTAAAGAACTAAAATTTCCTTTGAAACTATGTATTATTCTACCTGTAAAAGTATTCCAGTTTAAAAATCATTAGCTGGAGCTCAGCTTATCAATGGTACCTTTATCTAAAGAAATCAATAGGGATGGTTATTAACACTCAGGGCACTACTAACTCCATTGTAGGGATCGTAATTATCACTGAGGACACGAATTAGCCCATCAGAGGGATGGTAATTAACACTCAGGGCACTAATAACTCTATCCTAGGGATGGTAATTAACACTCAAGACACTAATCACTCTTTAGGAGGTATACTAATTAACACTCAGGAAACTAACTAGTCCATCAGAGGTATGGTTATTATCACTCAGGACACTAATTACTTCATTAAAGGGATGATACTGATCACTGAGGACACTAATAACTCCACTGGAGGGATGGTTATAAACATTTAGGACACTAATTACTTCATCAGAGAGATGGTAATTAACACTTGGGACACTAATTATTCCATCATAATATAGTTATTAACACTCAGGACTCTAATTACTCCATTAGAGGGATGTTAATTAACACACAGGAAACTAATTACTCCATCTGGGATATGGTAATTAACGCTCAGGGCACTAATTACTTCATTGGAAAGATGGTAATTAACATTCAGGGCACTAATTACTCCATCATAGGGATAACAATTAACACTGAGAACACTAATTACTCATCAAAGGGATGGTAATTAATACTCAGGACACTAATTAGCCATAAGAGGGATGGTAATTAACACTCATGACAGTAATTACTCCAACAGATTGATGGTAATTAACACGCAGGACACTAATTGCTCCATCAGAGGAATGGTAATTAGCACTAAGGACACTAATTACCATCCCTATGATGGAGTAATTAGTGTCCTAAGTGTTACTTACCATCCCTCTGATGGAGTAATAAGTGTCCTGAGTGTTAATTACCATCCCTCTGATGAATTAATTAGTGCCCAAAGTGTTAATTACCATCTCTCCGTTGGAGTTATTTGTGTCCTGAATGTTAATTATCATCCCTCTGGTGAAGTAATTAGTGTCCTGAGTGCTAATTATCATCCCTCCAATGGAATAATTAGTGTCCCAACTTTTAGTTAACATCCCTCTGATGAAGTAATTAGTGCCCTGAATGTTAATTACTATCCCTGTTGTGGAGTAATTAGTGTCCTGAGTGTTAATTACCATCTCTCCAGTAGAGTAATTAGTATTAAATCACAATTGTGCATTCCCTCTGATGAAAACAATTTCCCTCGGATGGCCTTCGCTCCAGTGGAGGGGACCCAATATGCTTCTGCAACCTTCAATCTCTATTTAATTACTTATCTGGCCTTTATGGTAAATCTTGTTAACAAAAAAATTAAAGACTGAAAACTTTTATCCAACCCCTGCATTCGAAAAACAATGGAAACATTTGCATCAGAAAAATATTGAAAAGTAAAAACATTGATTATAAATGTTTGCTAACTGTGCCTCTCAGACTCTTTAGGCAGTCCTCCAAATAATTCAGCCACTGCAGGCTTAACCATGAAACTGCTTAGACTTTTTATTCATTTAGGTAATTAATGATACTTCTATATCTATTATATAACGCTGCATTGTGTGAAAGTACTTTTATATTTATGTATGCTTATAAGCGTAATTTAAAAATCTTCAATAGTCTGTTCTTGTGGACATTGGTGCTACAAAGTAGACCACGCTGTTTAGTCCCCTTCTTATAGCATATAAATAATCATATTTAGATTTAAACACAAATTGATTTACAATTTTAATTATTTTAGGTTTGATTCCTGTTAAAGATGGAAAGTTTCGACTGTGCAGCACTAAAACCTTTAAATCGTTATTGATCTGGTTTTGTATTCCTGTTAGCTTGTACTTATCCGTAATGTGGATGGTTGTATTTTTGGACAGTCAAAGTTACTCAAGTGATACTGTAATTACTACTTGCTTGATTGCAATGGCAATCAATATTGTTTCTACTACTATGTTAATACCTGGTCTTATGGCAAATCTAGTCGAAAAATCAGAGATTAATTATAATGTCACAAAGTTTTCTAAACTCTGGCCTGTTCTTTACATTCTTGCTGGCATTGTTTCTAGCACATTGACGATCTACAATTATCAGTATGTTGATGGTTATTTGTACTTATCTATTGCTCTAACTGTTTTCTTCAGTATGTTAAATGTGATCATGGGATCTTTTTATATAACTTCTAGTTTGATTTCAATCTCATTTATAGATGAGGCTAAAGAAATGTCAACAATTCAGGATGTAGAACTTATGATCTCATGTTCTATGAATCAAGTAAAGAAGATAAGAATGTTGAAGAGTGGATTCAGTCCCCTCCTTGCTTTCATGCTAACCAACCCAACAGTGTGTCTAGTAATCTTCTCCTACACTGGATTGTACTACTCAAAAAAGGAACATTACTACCAGTGTTTAATTTTTTTGTCATGTGTTCCAGGATTTTGCTTATCAATTTATTATCTCATTTGTTGCTGTAACGATACATTTCTAGCTTTATCTTTAAACAATGACAAACTTAGGTATTCAATTACGAAAATAAAATTTACTGCTTGAATTAATATAAACTTGCTTTTTTCTACTTAGACAAATGTCCCGGATGGTGGACCATGATATTAAGTATGATATACAATTAGGTTCTAACTTATTAATACTCATTTGTTCATGTTATTCATTTACACAAATAGTCCTCCTTCGGCATAAGCAAGATTTGATTAATAATTATGTTTAAATGCACACTGTTCAGACTTTTAGAATTATCTATAGCTTACTAACCTAAAACTATTTGCAGTTCTTGAGATGATCAAAGAAGAGGGACCTTTCACCGCTCTTGGATTCTTTGCAGTGGATAAATCTACTTTCATGACTATTATTGGATGCACCATCAACTATCTGGTTATCATGCTCTCTCTCACATAGACTTTTTAAATAACAGTTTTTCATCTAAAAGAATTTAGAATATTATTCAACAATAATATATGATAACAAATTTATAACTAAAATAATAAATGTTTTAGAATAAACTTTTATTGTGAAAAATAAATCTCAATTTTTATTCTTCTGACTCCTTTGAATTCCATTACCTGAGAACTCTAGGGGCAAGATTTAGAACCAGGTTTTAAAATATAGTTCTTTCTCTCTATTTGAGGTTCAATAGTTTTCTCATTTCTGTTGTCATCATTTTTATTACATGATCTTGAGTATTTGATCATTTCTGAGAGTAGGGATAGTGGTAAGGCCCAGAGCTGGGAACTTCAGAATGGTGGATATCAGGATTTATGCTTGATCCTCTCTTTTTGCTAATCTTGAGACTAACATAATCTCGAGATTAAATATTTAGATCAACAAATTTGTATCTAGGAACGCCAGATTTGTTGGTTTTCTTGATTGGAAGGTCCTTTATTTATTTTCTCACCAATTTATATATTAATACTTTAGTTAAAAGTGATTAAAAATTAATCTCAAACCTGTTATTAAATATTTTTCTTCGCCGATAAATTTACAAAATGGCCGACAAGAAATTCTTTATTTGTTAGAAATTGCGGATTTCTCTCATGGGATAAAATTTATTTTCAAGGCTGTCATTGGTCAATACAATTTACAAACTATATTCCTGCACTCTCATTTGAGAAAACAATGTACGGATATCATAAGAGAGAGAAAAAGAGTGGATTAAGGACTAAAATTTAAAGTTTCCACAGTGGATATTCAGTTTAAGTAGTTGTATTACAGGTTATCCATTCTAAAGTTCGCAGCTCAGCTCAAATTTGGCCCAAAACCTTGGGTGAAACCTCGACCACCCAAAAGAAGAGGCCTTAGCCACCTATATAGATAACATGGGCAGATTGTAATTGGTAACAATGACTAATCTTAAAGTAATGATCTTGAGAGTTCTGAAAACTTTAGAAAACTTTAACTACTAATTGGTTAATAGCCGCAGCGCTTGGCCCCCTAGCCTATCCTAGCCGCAGTGCTTGGCCCAGATTAATGGTTGCAAGACTTGGCCCAGATATAATCCCAACCTAACCTAACCAACAAAATAGAAACATGAGCAGCTTGTAATTGTATAGCAGTGAACAAAATGTGTGATTGTCTGTCACATGTTTTGTGGTTTATGTATCAAACGCCACTATATCTTTGGTCATTGTAGATCTAAAATGTATAGAATGAGCTCTAATATTTAAGATCAGATTTGGGAAAGTAATTGAGCTTTTGCCTCAAACTAAATTTTTCTTTTCTCTTTATCTGTGCAACCTGATGGTATTTGATATTTTAAACTTTGACTATTAAATCTAACAGAATTTGTAGTTTGAAATTTCAACGGTCTACGAAGTCAGGTTGAAAAGAGAGATTAGAAAATCAGAGTTTGTGGCTTAAACACGATTCCTTAATTTTATATTGAATTTACAGTTTTTCCGTGGAAAGAGGTAGACTTGGATCAAAAGAATTTTTCAAAATCAATTTCTACTTCCTATAGATCCAATTTTTTTAGATCAAAATACCTCTAGATCTAATTCTTTCTAGCTCATATTCTTATGGATCCAACTCTCTAGATTGAAATACTTTTAGATCCAACTCTCTAGATTGAAATACTTTTAGATCCAACTCTCTAGATTAAAATCCTTTTAGATCCAACTCTCTAATAAAAACTACTTTTAGATCCAACTCTCTAGATTAAAATCCTTTTAGATCCAACACTCTAATATAAACTACTTTTAGATCCAACACTCTAGATTAAAATACTTTTAGATCCAACACTCTAGATTAAAATACTTTTAGATCCAACTCTCTAGATTAAAATACTTTTAGATCCAACTCTTCAGATTACTTTTAGATCCAACTCTCTAGATTAAAATACTTTTAGATCCAACTCTTCAGATTAAAATACTTTTAGATCCAACTCTCTAGATTAAAATACTTCTAAATCTAACTCTCTAGATTAAAATACTTCTAGATCCAACTCTCTAGATTAAAATACTTCTAGATCCAACTCTCTAGATTAAAATACTTTTAGATCCAACTCTCCAGATTGAAATAGTTTTAGATCCAACTCTCTAGATTGAAATATTTTAGATCAAATTCTTTTTAGATCAAAAGGTTTAAATTATAGGTTTGAGAAGGTCTGTTATTTTTACATAATCATCGTTTGGGAATAAAACATATATTGAGGTTTTGATATATTTTTGTTCCGAATTTAAACTAGTTTAGTATAAATGCTTTAAAGAATAAGCTTGATTATTCCTTTTTACTAGAGTAAATATAAAATATTTAATGTCAAATTGTTAAATAAACTAAGTTTTACTTTTTACAACAAAAACCAATTTATTACAAGGCGTATGTTTACAATGTACACAGCACATCAATTTAAGTCACAAAATTTGTTCAAGCACTTTTAATGTAATATCATTAATGCACTTGAACCACCTTTTTAACTCCGACCCACCCTTATATTAATTTTATGTTTAAACATTATTAACAATTTTTGTAATATTTTTATCATTAATGGTTGAATATAAACTTTTCTGTTCAAATTATAAATTTTTATTACATATTTTATCTAAAACTATATTTACCAAAATGTAGAGATACAAAACTATATTTGACATACTGGTTATTAAAAACAAAGCATATATATTGCAATAAATGTATTTCATACAAAATAATGGTAATATTGAATACTTTGGAAAAAAATGTATTTGACACCAAAATTAACGAAAATTAGATAGTTCCCCATTTTTATTTTGTTTTTTTAGGATTCGATAATATTCGACTTTTTTGCTGAGGATAATTTAACAACATTGCGAAGTTTGACGGGTCAAGTCATTTGAGGAAGGGGAGGGGGGTTTCAAGAGTTATATGAGGGGGAGGTAGGGGGAGGCAGGGAGGTAACGAGCATGTGCAATTTAATCCGTCTACAAAATCTACAGATTAGAAAAGCAATGTCATGTCAAGCTATTTCTGAACTATTTATTATGTATTCCCAACACTATATTTGACCAAAAATACAATGCCTAAACTGCCTTAATACTGCCTGATTGTATCTTGTTATTTTACTCTAGAGTTTATTGTTTACATAAATACCCCGACATATATTTATCTATCTCAGAATCTACCTATCTATCTATCTATCTATCTATCTATCTATCTATCTATCTATCTATCTATCTATCTATCTATCTATCTATATATATATCTATCTATCCATCTATCTATCCTTGTTTTCATAACATTTCTTCCTTGTATGACTAGTGCAGGGACTGGAAACATTTGCCGGAACTTACAATATCGCCGTAACCTGGATCAACAATATCGCCGTAACCTGGACCAACAATATCGCCGTAACCTGGATCAACAATATCGCCGTAACCTGGCTCAACAATATCGCCGTAACCTGGCTCTACAATATCGCCGAACCTGGATCAACAATATCGCTGTATCCTGGATCAACAATATCGCCGTAACCTGGATCAACAATATCGCCGTAACCTAGATCAACAATATCGCCGTAACCTAACTCAACAATATCGCCGTAACCTGGCTCAACAATATCGCCGTAACCTGGCTCAACAATATCGCCGTAACCTGGATCAACAATATCGCCGTAACCTGGATCAACAATATCGCCGTAACCTAACTCAACAATATCGCCGTAACCTAGCTCAACAATATCGCCGTAACCTGGTTCAACAATATCGCCGTAATCTGGATCAACAATATCGCTGTAACCTGGATCAACAATATCGCTGTAACCTGGATCAACAATATCGCCGTAACCTGGATCAACAATAACTTTGTTTACATTTTCTTGCCTTTTGCCTTTTCATGTCAAATTTTCATTCTTTCCACAAAGCATCAAAAATCATTCTTGAAAGTATAGACAAAAAATAAAAAGACTGCTTATTTTTCAAATTGATAATTTATCATTCTTTAATTAAACTAAAACTTTTTAAATTGAAAATGGTTTGAAATAACATTTAAAAATAAGAAGCATGCAGACGTGAGATTTCTTTTGTTTATTTCTAAAAACAGCTTAATAGCTACAATCTTTAATATTCTAATTCCGATATCTTTGCAAACTGCTGCTGTAAACCTTTGATAATTTAAATTTTACTGACAGAATTCAAAGTTTGAAATATCCAGTGACTACTTTTACTTAAAGGGACTGTAAGCGTAATTTCAAGTGACCCTCCATGCAAAGAGGACAATGTCCGATTTACAACGGTACCCTTGAAACTTTGTCTGATCAAGTATGAATTAGATATCAATGTTTTTGTTTCTTTAAACTGTTTATGTTTATTTGCGGTTTCTCTCCAAAGTGACTTGGTCGGGTATTTCTTGTTTATAAGATGCAATGAAGAAACTCACAGAAATAAACATTTTTCGATGTAGAAAAACGACGGTATCTCCCACATTATTGATCAGATTAAGGTTTCAAGGGTACCGTTGTAAATCGGTCATTGCCATCTTTGCATGGGGGTCACTTGAATTTACGCTGACAGTCCTTCTGAATGGAGTATAAGGTTTTCAAATTTTGATTTCACTTATTCAATTTATCAATTATTCATTTCCAAATAATTGTATTTTACTAAAAAAGTATAAAAATTGAAAATTCAATGTGTTCTGTTCTTAGGCGTTATTATTCTCAAGTTTCATTGAGAAAAAGATATTAGATTATAACTATCCTAAATACTAACACACACACCCCCTTCTAACCCGTCCCCGCACAATTCTAAACACCCCCTAAACCTTCTTAACATCCACCCCCCTCACCTACTAAACACCCCCAAAACATTTTTTCTACCACTCCCACCTCCCCTCATAAAAACCCCCATAAATATTTTACACCCCCCCCTGAAACTCCTGAAAGACAAACTTCTGAAAGACAAACTCCTGAAAGACAAACTCCTGAAAGACAAACTCCTGAAAGACAAACTCTTGAAATAGAAACTCCTGAAAGCAAACTCCTGAAAGACAAACTTCTGAAAGACAAACTCCTGAAAGACAAACTCTTGAAATTCAAACTTCTGAAAGACAAACTCCTGAAAAGCAAACTACTAAAAGTAAACTCCTGAAAAGCAAACTAGTAAAAGTAAACTCCTGAAAAGCAAACTACTAAAAGTAAACTCCTGAAAAGCAAACTACTAAAAGTAAACTCCTGAAAGACAAACTCTAAAAGATAAAACTTCTCAAACTAAACTCCTAAAAGATAACATTTGAAATGCAAATTAAAGAAAGATAAAGTCCTCGGAGGTGACAAAGAGGGCCGAGCGCTGCGACTGAGACCACCTCCGACATCGATCCTGCCCCTCCTTATAAACTGTATAAATACAGTCAGTTTTCATAAGCTCTTCCCCCTCCCTCAGGGAAAACCTTGAAGAATTTTGTAGATATAGGCCAAGAGATGTTTATCAAAAATATTCAACTTTTTTTGTAAAAGTGCAGCAGTTTTTTACGTTTTTGGGTTACAACTTTTGTATACTAGTAAGATATTTTTTATTAAGTTTTCAATTTCTTCTTTGTTAATCAGAATATTTTTCTTTCTTTCGCAACAATAATAAAATTTATATTCTTGCTTGTAATGGAACTTCTAGTATTATCATTATTTTGATTATAATTATCTTAGGCTTGTGAACCAGATGAAATATAAGTTCACATTATGAGTTTGTTATTGTTAATAATAGAAAGATAGATAGAAAGATAGATAGATGATATATGAATATTATTATTCATATCAGTGGTAACCTGACCTAAACACTGACAAATTCAAATTAGCACCTCCCCCCCCCCACCCTCTTCACGAATATCCCCAGAAAATCCTACACTGAAGGTGTAAATAAGTAGGTTCTCTAGCATAAGAGTATAACTGTTTGAAATTCTTGTTCCTAAATCTGGATGTTTTTGTTCCGAAATGAATCTAGCCCCCTCCTCACTTAAATCTTGTATCCGCTCCTGTGAAATGATGCATCTATATTGTTAAAGTCTACATTCAATTTGAGACCAAAAAAAACTAGCAGTTAAAATTTGTGAAAAAAATAAACAACTCCCCATAATATAAATATATCATTGCAAATCCTAAATTTTTTTGGAAAACATTTTTGAAACAAATAAGGATTTAATCTAAATCGAAAGTTCGGAGCCGAATCGGAGAGAAAGAGAGGCAAAATAAATGAATTGATATATTTGTTTTAAACTGAATTGTGTATTTAAGGAATTTTAGGAGTTGAAGTTCAAAACTCATTTGTCAGGAAGGGATTAGGGTAATGTTAACAATATATTTAACCCTTTAAACTTATACAGCCTTGGTCTTAAATCCTAGATATTTTTAGCACAGGTTAAAAATGGGGGTCCCGCGGGTTTAAGTCTTGGAAAGCAAATCGGAAAAGATTTCTAAAAATGCACTAGTGACCACGTAAAAAGTTGCAAAAATTGTCACGTTTGGGTCGTAACTCTTTGGCCTTTTATTTTGCCGAACCAACTCACTTGCACTTTTTGCCTAGCCATATACATTTTAAAACAGGTTTTTTGCATTAGTTTTTACACAGATATTGCCAAATTTTCGTTGATTTTTCGTGAAAATTTCAATCCACTCTCCCCTCTTCCTCAAATATGAAAAGTGTACATTAAAGCCTGTAGAGATTACGTTTAATTAGATTCGTCTCTTAATCTCTGAATTCTCATCCTTTGTGGGTAACCCTTATAATCTACAGGATGTCCAAAAAACATGGAAATTCAGTGACGAATTCGATATCGTCTTGTTACGAATTAGCATAGTAATGCCTAACTTCAAAAGCCATAGTATTTTTATGCCTTCTAGAGTTTATTTTAGGAAAAAGGTAAAAGACTGTAAAGATGTGTCTATAATGTCTCCGCAAGATGAACAGGGAAGACGGACAAGTTTACTCTGTTTGTATTCTGCAATATTCTTGTTTTACTAAGTACAACCGTATGCAGTCAAAACATAAACAAACAAATTATAAACATAGCAGACGAAACTCTTACAGATTACAGCTTTATCAGTAGGTATCGCTATGCTAAATCAAAGAATTATTTAAAAAGACGATATCGAATTCGTCACTGAATTCCCATGTTTATTGGGACACCCTGTATATAATAAAGCTCTTTACTCATATTTATAATATATATTTTTTATCGCTTAGCTGGCAAACGGATAGTCCAAATTGGTTTAAATGTGTAACCCGGGAGTTAAATAGGCTAAAAAACTTAATTCTTTTTAAATTCAAATTTATTTAAAATTCCACGGTATACGCCTCAGCTAGTATATTACAAAGGAATTGAACACTCGCCATAAACTGTATCTTCAAGTAAAGCTATTTGATTATTTTTTATTTAATGGAAATATAATAATTAAAATATTTTTTGAAAAATTGAAACATCAGAAGGACGAAAAAAATATTTTTCTAGTTTGTTAAAAATAAATATAACCAACGATGTAAGTATACGACGACATTGTATTTTGTTTTATTGGTGTCAATATGCAGCACACTGCACATCTTGACATTCTTTTCTTTAGATTAATTTAAAAATCAACGACAACAAGTAAATGTTATTGTTAACGATAAATTTAGAATTAGAAATTTGTAAGAAACTAGACTTAAGTTATAATATTGTTCATATCTAGAAATGTTCCTTAATCAATACTCATTTATCAAAATTGTAATATTGTTCCTAATTTTCATGCATTTAAGTATAACTAGTAATTTCTTTTTGTTCTTAAATTGCTAATGCTTATTGTTCCTGTTCCTAATACTGTGTCCGACCCGCCTTAAATCCCTGTCCTAATCCTTTATTTTTGTTCCTAATTCCTGAACAATCTTTTTATTGTTTCTAAATCCCTGTCCGAATCCTTTAATTTTGTTCCTAATTCCTGAACAATCTTTTAATTGTTCCTAAATTCCTGTCCTAATCATTTATTTTTGTTCCTAATTCCTGAACAATCTTTTAATTGTTCCTAAATTCCTGTCCTAATCCTTTATTTTTGTTCCTAATTCCTGAACAATCATTTAATTGTTCCTAAATTCCTGTTCCTAAATTCCTTTAATTGTGTTCCTAAAAGTTAAAAATCTAGTTTTTTAGTCTTTAGTCATTAAATTTGACTCTTTTTGAATCTTCTAAGTCAAAAAAAATATTTTTTGTTCCTAATTATTAATTATTTTGTGCCTAAAAAATCTTGCCCCCCCCCCCTCACTTAAATCCTGTATCCGCCCCTGGTTTGTTTCAAAAACTCAAATCCTTTACTCGGAACAAATGTTTTTATTTTAGAATTTTAAAGTTTTGTAAAATTTTCTCACATTAATCTCTATTATTGATTTACCCCATTAACTTTTTTCATTTGTTTAACCCATTTTTTTAAATGATCTTAAATTTTTATATTCTTTGAAATTCTATTTGTTTGTTTATTTTTTCTTTAGCCGAAAACCTTTAATAAATAAAATCCATATTTTTTATTAAATAAAACAGCTTGATTACATTTTTAATATTTATTATAAACCTTTGATTAAACAGTAATATATATATATATATATAATTCTAAACATGTTTAGGAGAGTTAATACAGCTTTCTCAGGATCACAGCGCTCAAGGTTTGAAATAAAACCTAGGAATCTAGAATTTCTCATTTTGATTGATAAAATCGTTAATAGTTGACAGCTTATCGTTGACAATATTAACTTCTTTTAGTTTAGGAGACTGGAAACTAAACACGTTTTGTAGAGAAGAGGAGGAGTAGGGGGGCAGGGGGGAACTAGGGGGCAGGAGTACTATTGAAGAAGGATGGACGGAGTTATTATTGCTAGGTTTGGTTTGGATAGTTGGTGTTTTGGAGTAGACTCGGAGAAGGATGAGGAGAAGGGCAAGGAAGGAGAAAAGGATGGAGATGATTGAAAATACGAGAGAAAGGTTGAGGTCGAGGTTCGATTTCTCCGAGTAGGTGCTAACATTGATAGGAGCAGATCTCAGGTTTGCAGCAAGATCTTGAACCTGAACTGAGATGAGGGTTGAAGGAAGGAGAGCTAAGGATACAGAGCTGGAGTTGGTGTAAAGAGAACCTCGGATGAACCCCTCTGGAACCTGTTTCCATTCAACCAGGAACCTGGAACCTGACAACTTCGAGGACACCTTGATATCCTGGTTCCAGGTTAATCCAACCTTGACAAGAACACCCTGGGATATAATTCCGTCCAGCTTTAGTTCGAAATTTGGAGACAAGGCTGATTCATCTTTCACTTCTCCGGGGTTAGAATTAGTACTGCAAGGTTCAAGAACTTGTTTCTCTACTGTGATCTTAGTGTTGAGCATAACTCCACTACGTTCTACTCCTGCAATCACAATCTCCTGGAGTTTAGCCAAGGTTTGAACCTGGATTCTAGTATTTAGTGTTTCGGTTTGGTTTATCTCATACCATCTTCCTGATCTATCCCGGCCTAAAACCAGGAACACTGGAGAATTTATCGATCTCTCAGAACTAACTATGAAACTGTTTGCTGAAAATGAAGGAGCTCCCCAACTCAGTTCCCCGCAGCTGGAGAGGGTTGGAGAACTGGAGAACTCAAGAGATCTGGATCTTCCTGTTCTCCGTCCTGCTGAAATACTGTTTAGACCGGAGTAGAAGTTACAAGCAGTCCTACATCCTTCTCCACAGGATTCATCCTCACAAATCCGTCCTAGCTCACTCTCATCTTTATAACAGGTCTGCCAGCACACTAGACAACTAGTACTAGAACAGGTTGGATCCTCCTGGAGACAGGAAGCGCGACACTGCGCTACTCCAACTCTAGCCTGGAGTAGAGGATCCTGAAGAGGGTTTACAGACCTACTGGAGACTCTATCAAGGATACAAACCAGGAGCAAAACTTTATAAACCATGATTAAACACTAAAAGTATGTTTACTGATAAAAGTATGTGATGAAGGATTGGTGTAAACTGATCTCTGAATGGTTTCCGTCCTGGTTTATATATCCAGGATATCTCCAGATACCAGGATTCACCGTGTTGACCGCTACTGACCGGAGAATCCGTCCTCGACCCTTCTTCCTGGATCCTGGTCGACCGGAAACCCGGAGATCGGCCGTCCGGTCTTAACCAATGGTTTAGGGTTGTGCGGGGGGCATGTGTGTGTATGTGGGAGGGGGGGGAGGTTCGGAATATATCAAAGAATCTTGGATCGTTAAATATTGCTGAGAAAGGTGATAAACTTTATTTTCAACCGGATACTGGGGGTAGGGGGGAGGGAGGTTTATATAAAAGGGTTGTAGCAGAAGTATGGGGGGGAGGTATTAAAGCAGGATATAAGAAGTATAGAACAGGAAAAGATGACATCAAAGACATAACGACAGGAAATCAAAAATTGAAATCTAAACACGGAGAGAAGACACAAGCAGAAACAATAATATTTCTCAAGTTTAGAAAGATAAACATGGAAGCGGGAAACTGTAGAAACTGTAGATCACAAATAGAAAGTAAGAAAATATAGTATTTAAACATTCATTTCAAATTTCTTATATTTAATTCCTTTTTTTACAAGATTTATTCCATAACACAAATATTTATTATACAGCCTTCTCTTCTATATATAAATTTGGCTTGTCTGTTTGTTTGTATCCAATAAACGTCAAAACGGCTGAACCGATCGGGCCCAAATTTTTTGTGGGACATCTAGGGACCCCAGGTAAGGTTTATGAATGATCAAAATTTCAAATATTTGTATCCATCAAAATTCGATCTTCATTAAATTTTTGAAAATTTTGAAAATCCACGAAATTTTTTGTGAAAATCCGCGAATTATTTTTGTTTTTTTTTACGATGTACACAAAGAGAACATGTTTACAATTAATTTAGAAGATGGGCGCGAAGCGCCCTCTAAGGCTAGTATATATATATAATTCCTTACTTACTACTTACTTAAAAGTACTATAGAGGAGAACACTTGTGCGTAAAATTCGAATTAGAGAAGCAATTGAGTCACAAAGTCGTAGCAGTAATCCTGGTTAGTTTGCAGCGTAGCTTATACAAACATTTATTTTGAAAAATATAAAAATTAAAATATTGTTCTCTGTTTTCTTAATATTGATCTTGGAGTTGAAGTACAGCAGTTAGGTTATGATGTGCAAGTCTTGTATTATTATCATACCTAAACATTTATTATAAAGTCTTATTACAATGACAACCCTCCGTTTAAAGAGGGTCATGCCCGATTTCCAATGATGAAGGAGATCTACATGTTTTTAACCGCAAAAAAAAAACCAATTTTCAAAATTACTGTTTTATTTTTAAGTGCAAAAAAAACTATTAACTCTTGCAATTACTGTTTAAACGATATATTATGTAAAATAATAACATTAATTTTGTATTAAACTTTTATGAAAAAAATCATATATTTAATTTGAAAAAAGGGGTAGAAACAGGGAACAGGAATATAGGGAAAGGAAATGGCGCTGGTCCGGCAAGAGAAAGCCAGTCGCACTGCTTTGCAGACCAGTACAGTAAACTTACAAACACTCTTCTGGTACAGACACACAACATGACAACAGTCAAGGAAATTGTAGAACAATGTCGTCGATTATAATTAAACTTGAATCGAGTAGTTTATTGTAAACTTTAATCAAATTATATTCTTTGCGTGAAAATTTGGCTTTACAGTGTTGACTTAAATATGTAAATAATATATTACATGTATATTAAACTTATTTCTAAGTAAACAATTAACAATAAACAAATGTACTCTCCTAGGCTGTACAAATACCGAGATTCTTACGTACTGTA